CAGATTAGAACTGGTCTGATAAATGCTGAGCTGGGTGTGTGTAAAAATGGGTTGACTAGCATTTGGAGCACAGATTCCCCATTATACAGTGCTTCCCTGCTTCTCTGATCCCAGAATTCACTGCAGGCTCTGCTTCAGGCTTTCTGTTCTCCATCTCCCATGTAAATAAGTTGTCATCTGGTTCCATCTCAGATGCAAATGAGACCTAGGGCAGTTGTTTCACTCTTGTCACCCTTATCTGGAAGGTTTTAGGTGTATCTCCCACTGTATCTTAATTGTCTTTCATTATCAGTTCTTGTTCGGGAGGGGTGGGAAGGGGTGAGTCCTTTGTGAGTCAGACAGGCTGTGTCCTGTGCCAGGGTTTCCCAATAACACGGAGCTGAAAGATAACCAGCTCCATGGCAACATCACAGGCCGCAGAGTTGTCTCATCAGGGCCTGGAGCTTGTGAGGTCAAAGAATGGGATGTCTGTGGATAAGAGTGGTCAGAGCAAGGATTTGCTCAGTTCCACCACTCATCGTCTCCAGGAAGGTCCTGGAGACCCAACACCAGCTGGAACGGTCGGTCAAAGAGGGATTATAATTCATGTCCTTGTCTCACATCACTTAAACCACTTGGTGCTTTTGTTTGCACCTGGCTGTTTTCAGCTGCTGTCAGAAATATGGGAAAAATTCACTCCGAGGTGGCATGCCAGGAGGCCTGCTCACCGGCTGTCTAGCGGCAGAGCTAGAGGGCATTAACTGTGCATGTAGCGTTTGTAATAAACATTACTGGATGAGCTCTCAACACATTTTAACTTTTAATGCCTCATAACATCCCATAGATTTAACACATACTAAGTGTGACAAAGTCCTTAGTAAGAAAATATTAGTTGAAAATCTCATGTGATGAATCATCTGACCCCAGAGATTGTGTTTTTAAGAAAAACATTTTCATTGAAGGCACAAGAATTAGTAACGCCACAAATGGGACTATTTGGATTCCTTCTATAAGCAAGATGCAGGATCTTCTCTAGAGCTTTAAATTGAAATAGAAATTTTCACCATTTTCACCATTTGCATTTGGGATACTGCTACAATGAAAATGCAAGAGAAGAGATTGTACCTTAGTCTTTATATTGGCTGACTGCTCGTTGAAGGAGAAATACAAAACCTAAATATTCAAAGTGATCTACATGTCTGTCTCTCTTCCTTTTTCCATTTTTTTTTCTGGCATTGTTACATCTGCAACCTTTGGCATTGATACATACACACTTGCACAAGCAAACAATGCTTGCATTTACTGACCCAGCAGTTAAATGACATCTTCTTGGTACGTGCATATTCACTTTGCACGGGTAAACATGGTAAATTCTGAACACAAATTTAGCAGCTCTTTCTGAAAGTGTCTCCTTTAGTATTTAGGTGCATTATTCAAAAAGTTATGCAGGGGTGAAATGCAGTATGTGCGGGCCGGGAGCGATCCGGGCCCTTTTTTGCGCCACGCAGGCTGTGGCCAGCAGCCCGGGCACGCTGGGTTGGACAAAGCAGGCGACACGCTAGAATTAGGCACGGACGCGTAATGGTTGATTCAAGATTGTTTACTTACACCGTAGATGGTCGCGGTGTAGGCTGGACAGTTTCCCAGGCACAGCTCCGCTTAAATCCCCAGTTTGAGGACTCAGACTGCACTCGGCTCACTCCTACGGAGTTGTCGAGGCTCCGTGGATCCTTTTGCGCGCAGGCAAGAGGGATACGTCGAGGATTGTGAATGGCGACAGGGAGAGGCTAGAGGCTGATCAGACCCCTGTTGCCTTCTTGATATTCACGCTGGGTCCAATAGGCTCCGCAGTGCTTAGAGATCTTCACGAGACGTGAAGTCTCCTCCTCCTGATGTTCGTGGAGTCCTCCAACTTGGGCGGAAACCACTCAAGCCTCTTATACGGCTAGCAAGCTAATCGCTAGCCTCCACGTGGGAATATTTTAACACAAGCCAATAATGGGGCTCGATTTTTAATACAAATGGCGGGAACTCCTTGCAACGTGCATTTCTATGCTGCAAAGAAGAAATGCACCCTGCAAAGAAAGCTCCAAAATGGCGGGAAAATAATTCAGTGGTGCCAAAGCACACACAAAACAAAATCACACCCTTGGGTTGTGACACAGTAAAGAGATTTTTGTCTGGATTATCATCCAAAAAGTATTGACTATTGTAAATGAAGGGCCAGTGTGCTTTTTATTGAGAAGGCCTCTACCTGGCAGAGAACAGAGGTTGGCAGCATCCAGCCTATGAGTTGCATCCTGCCCATGGAGCCACTGGATCTGGACTGTGGAGTTGGAGGTCTTTGTCTGTGTCCATGATGTTGCTGAGCAGCAAGGGGCCATGTCAGAGTATGGCAGCTTGCACCAGTGTCCTTGCCACTGTTGCTTCTCCTTGCTCTTTCAGCTCTGGTCTGACATGGGTTGGGTGTTTTCAGCAGTACACCAGAGGCGGGGGTGGGGTGTCTTTGACTACACCTGTGCCAGGCAGCTGGATGTTGTGCCTATGCCACCACCACTTTTCTCCTGCTCCCTTGCTGCAACAAAGGTGCAGCTTCCAGTCTATAGGGTGCTGTACTGGTACCAGCTATCTGCAGACTGTCCTTGTTGCTGCCACTTCTCCTTCCTTGCTACCCCTCAAGCTTCAACGTGGGTGCAGCTTCTAGTAAGTGGGGAGCTGTGCTGGGGTGAGCAACTTCCCACTGTGCCTGCACTGTATCTGGGCCCTGGGGGTGTGGAAAAGCAGGGAGAAGCATCAGTGTGGGCACAGTCTGCAGATGCCTGGTCCTGGTACAGCTCCCCATGGGCTGGAACCTGTGGTACAACTGCAGCCAGGAAGCAGGAAGCTGAGAGAAGTGGCAGTCATATGGCTGCAGCTCCTATCTGCTTGACTCCAGACCAGGCACAGAGAGAATCCTCCATTGTTGATGCACTGCTGAAGCCACCCAGACGATATTGGACCAGAGCTGGGTTCTTCTGGCCTATGCCTTATAAAAGGTTGCTAGCCCCCTGCCCTAGAATGTCATTCATCTTGGCAGCTGCATATTCTTGAAGCCAAAAGCTGAATTATCCATGCATATTGAGCTACTTTCATTCTGGCGAATGTCTTGGTTGTGGAGCACTGATGCATGGAACTACTGGTGTGGTTTCTGGTTTCTGGTTTGACAGAGGACTTTGGTCTTCTGTGTTATCAATAAAACCTCTTCCATGAACATAAAAACATTACAAAAATAGGAAGAAAATGGGGAAAGGTTTCAATATATTAACCAAATTACATTTTCTCAGAGACAGCTCCATTGAATAGGGCACTGTAATGAGAGATTCTTTTAATTTGGGTAAGTCTTATAACCTCTGTTCCTAAATTTCTTCACCTGTAAAACATGCTTAATGATGCCTGATCATTGCTGTATTTTGAATTCTATGCATAAAAACATACTGCTGTTCATAAATGTGAAACATTACTAACGACCCTGTTTAGTTGTAAAATTCTTCTTCATTAATATTAAATGAAATGTATTAATAAAAAATTAGGTTGCAAAGCCTTGTGTTTCACATGAAAGAAGGGTATTTTAATTCATCTTAATTTAAAATGTAGGAAAAGCCAGGTTGTACAGGTTCTCTAGTAATAAAGAAGCATTATTTAAAAAATAATATCTGCTATGTTAATTGTATATGAAGTGGATTGTAAATCTCCCTACTAATAATCAGCTTGTTTATGTTGATTTTCAAGTGTCAGTGTTTTCTGTTCAATCTTTTTCTGAAGGAGTTTTGTGTAGAACAGGATGGCGGTTTTTGGTATTTTGGAGGGGGTTTAAAGGTTCTTTTGGGAGTCTTTGGTGATTTGGCCTTTCTTTATTACACTTGTATTGTTCATGCTACATGAATCAGTTGTACACAGGCAATGAAAACAGCTTCTTCTACCAACAAGTTACGTAATATAGGTTGCAAGTGCCACTTGTTGATGGGTTTTTAAAAGCAACAATTTCTTTAAAATGAACACAGGTAACAGTTTTTTGAATGATGCACAATACTGAGTGGTAGAATCGATGAGAGGCAGCTTTTAGCAGCAAGTTGATGGAAAGATACTTTTGTAGGTTTTGAATTGCTGCCTAGAGTCATTCTAAATTAATAAAGAGAGAATGTTTCTGCATGTGCATATAATGACAAATATTTATCTCCTGGTAAGCTTATGTTTAGTAAAATGAAAGTCATCCTTCCCAGGTTTTGTCCCATATGCTTCTTCCAGAAAATTAGTTTAAAACAGGAAAAAGTTGTAAGGGAAAGATGAGACCAGCCTTGAAATAGCACAACCTTGTGACAGAATGCTGGTATGAGTAAACGTATAACAGGTCTGGGAGAAAAAAAAAACAAATGTGCTTTTCTGGGGCTTGGTCCTTCAAGGTGCTGACCACCATGACTCTCATAAGTAAGGAACCAAAGTACAAAAATAACCCCCTTTCTGGACTGGGAGCAAAGTGTTCAGTGCACTGCCAAATTGTATATTCTGTATAATTTCTAGGGTGCCAGCTTCTTGTCTAGTGACACAGCAAGACTTTTGTCCTTTAACAGAAAATTGGGAGAGTACAATACCGCTGCTCATGCATGTTTACAGATAATGTTCTTATTTATTAGTATACGATTTCACTGTTTATTAGTACATTAATAATTTTCTTGCTTTTGTCACAAGTCTAAGTGGTAGAGAGCTTGAGCTTGAATTCATGCGATAGCTGAAATGATGAATTCATCACCAGCTCCACTGCAATAGATAAAATTTAGTTGTGTACTCCAGCTGAGTAGTATAATCTTCAGTATTATGCTTTTAATAAATAATATGCATGTTTTTGGACCTTGGTTTGGAAGCTTAGGGAAAGATAAAGAAGAAACTTTTTATCATTGGATTAAAACACTTTGAATGCTTTTGAAAGAAACACATTTAATGTCATCGTTTTACATTTAATGTCATCATTTTCTCCCTTTCTCCAGTGTTAAAAAACCCAGTCTGTAAATTATACAGATTTCCCACTTCTGACAACAAGTGGATGTGTATTCGAGAACAAATGGCTGAAACAACTCTTTCTTTCCATGTTCCCAAGGAACTGATCAACCTGCACATAAAGGAGGATATGAGAAGGTAAGGAAAACAAAATTACAAATCAGATGCTATTTTTTCCTAAGGACTTCTTTTTCAGTTATATTATACATGACTACTGATCAAGAGAAGCTAAAATATGCTGATTGATATTATGAAATGGGCAGAGGAAATATGGTGATGTCCTTGGCTGATAAATTCATAGCTATGACTGCAATCAACACAATTCATTGCTCAGAAATTTTCAGCCTCTAGTGACTTCATGAATTCCTAGTAGTGCATTGTATTAAATACAATCGTGGTTCTGAACTTCTGAGAATAAGCAGCTTATTAATAATATAAATATTTTGACAAATTAACATGTTTTAAAACCAAATAGCATATGGTAGGTTGCAAACTGCATTGGAGTGTGTTTGGCTTTCTGCCCTAGCATCATTAATGCCATGGAATAATAAAATACAAGCAATAAGGTAAAGGATGGTTGAATGAAGGATAGGACCAATAAGTACACAAATTATTTCCAGTAATTGCTTTGCATTATTCAGTTAAAATGCTTATTTTCAAATATGGGGCTTTAAAAAATCTTCATGTATGAATGTGATGGTACAATCAAAAAGGATATCTGAGAAGCAACTCGGAAGGTAGAGTTCAGAGAGGGAACAACTGTGGCCAAAGGTGGCCGTATGCCACCCCAAATCTGAGGTGCCATGGGAACTGAAAAAGGAGCCTGCCCGTGGCTGTCTATTTGTTGTGCTGCAGCCCAGAATTTGTATAGTTCTGTAATAGTATAATTACATACTCCATAGCTTCCCACTCCCTACTTGTTGACTCCCCAGTATGTCCTCCTCTTTGTAATCTGTGACATCCTGACACTGTTTTATGTTGCTTTTATCTTGGGAGTATTTTTGTCACAGTCTTTACAGCTCTTCCATGACAATTATATGTTACTGGAACCTGTAGCTGGGATCCAGAACTAGTCCGCCAGCTTTACTCCCACTGATAGTGGTGTCAAAATTATTGGCCCCTTTGATCCTTAAACTAATGGTATTGAGATGGAAGGATGATGAGTGATATGAAGCACATGCATAAGTTATTACAGAATTCTCCTTTATAATGTTGCGTTTATAACTTGCATAGCCTGATCCTGTTTGGGAATGCTAAATTGTCAGGTTTTTTAGGTGGATACTGAAAGCAAATTGCTTTGACTGCACAGTATAGACAGGTCCCAGATTTTCATTCATTTAAATGGGTGTGTATTTTTTAACGGAGGGTTGAATGAGCTGTTTCATTTATATTCCTTCTTAGGTATTAGCAGTACCAAAGCTGCTTTGGAAACAGCACGTTTTATTACACTTTTTATAAGAGTGTACTGCATAGGTGAGGTCATAACATGTGATTATATATTAAAATAAGAATGGGACATTGGAAGGATAAATAGGCATATTTCTATCCATCGCCCATCAGCATAATATCTGAGTGCCTTTCACAGCTGAATAAATACATTAGCAGCTGGAAATGCTGCCCCAACCTTCTCTCCAAGTGGTACAAGAGACATATTTCACAAGAAACACAAAATCTCCTCAGTTCTCAGGAGTGCCTACTAGAGATAGCCAAGCCTCTGCCCCTCTCGCATCATCCAAGTGAGAAATGAACTAAAATAGCAATTGCTCAGAGACTAAGTCAAGAGCTGACAATTTCAGTGCTGCTGCTGGGGTAGCTGTTGAAGTCTACTCGAAAGTGTGTGTGTACATGAGCATGAATGTGTGAAATTCACTGTACTGACATGGTGAAGTGGGGACACAGTGATGCCAGAGATCGGTAGCTACCAAAAGTAGGAATACTGGCAGCTACTAGGTTGAAAAATAGCAATGTGATTACACTTGTTAGGGGTAGGATAGTGCATGTCCTCACTTTTAAATGATTTTCAGGGGAAAGTGTCCCAATAAACTTGCAGTTACAGCAGTGGTTTATGTTGTGAAAGCTTTTCTACAAAAAGAGACACTGCAAAATTACTTTTTTATTTTTTTAATGAAATCTTAGATTAGTACTGACATTTCAGCACTAGCGGTCGTTATTGGCAGAAGGTTTTACTGCCATAGTTGCTGGTTTACAGTTAGTGCAAAATTGTGGATACTTCTGAACATTTTAATACAGATTTTCTTCAAAACTGGATTTCCATTGACTGTTGTCTTTCAGTCTGTGTAAGGGGTAAGGTATAGTAGGGTCTTTTTTCTTTTCTTTTTCTTTTCTTTTTTTTTCTCTAGGATCTTTTTTTTTTTAATCTTCCCATGCCTACTGCATTTTTTTCCTTTTCAAAGAAACTAAGTACAAACTATGTAAGAGTGCAGTGCTCTGTTTCATATTTGTGACTCCTGTGGCAAGTCTTACAGTTCCTATTAAGATACTAACATACTCCTGTTGTATATACATCATATTTTTAATTTCTATTTCCCTTCATAACTGAGATAATGTTTCCTTACAAGATAAACGTACAAAAAAAATATTGTAGCAAATCAGAACTTTTACATTTCTTAACATTTATTTGTTTTTGAACGGGCAACTTGAGGGAACATTTAACTTCAAAGGTGAATAACATTAACTTTGTTGGTGCTATGGTATTTTAATAGTAACTAATATTCTCCAAAACACAAATACATGAATTAAGGACTTATGCAAATGTCCACACAAGAAAGTCTCCATAAGGATTATAAAGCTGTATTTCAATTTTTATTTTCTAGTGTAACAGCAAATTACTTTGAATTCATTCTAAGGGTTTCCAATAGGTTTCCATTTTTTCTGTAGTTTTATATTATGTTAAGAAGGTTTTTGGATAGGGTAGTATGAATGGCATGGATACTGTTTATCATTTTTGTTTGCTTACCATCTTTAATGTAAGAATAGCATATTCATTTTTCAAATTTCAAACTTAAAGATTATAAATAAGGAAAGGAATGAATTCTTACAATGAATTATTCAAAAAGTTTTGACAGCTCTACAGTATAATGCTGCAGTAATAAAAACACAGCCTAGACTGGCTTTAAATCAACACAGCAAAAGACTAGGAAGACTACAGTTGAGGCTGTTTTCACTGTATGGCTTACAAGTTCCAATGAAGTTTCTGTTAATCCCTTGGGGTCAATCTTGGCTAAAAAGGAATGTCACCAGTTTGTCGGGGCTGAATTTGGCTCTTGGGATTTATGGACATAATCCATAAGCAAATTGCAGGAATTGAACTACTGAACTTTCCACGAGCCATCTTTCTAACTTACAAAGCATAATCAGACTTCTTTCTGCATCAGGATTTCTAACTCCAGCGTGCTTTTCCTGTAAAACAAATACGTTAAAATCCATTTGTCTGATTTTATGGATGCTTTTTTGTAATGTTCCAAAATATTGATATGTTTCAGACCATATTCCAAAACTGTTTTCCAATATCCCATCTTAAATAATATTCCCATGTGGGAGCGAAATTGAAAGGATTTTTTAGACTCTTAACACCAATTCCAGATTTTGTGCAATAGCATTCATTAGCTCCAATTTACAAATGAAGATTTAGTTTGACTCCTCTGCTGTTGTGCAGAGAATAGGATATTTAAGCTATTATAGTGGCTTCAGTAATGGTAATAGTGTGAGAAGGTTACACTGATTTTTTTTTGTGGACATTTTAGGACTTAATGCCTGGGTTACGGTGGTTGATGAGCCTTTATAGGTGCGTCCACACATGCAAGCACGTGCACTTGCAGCAGCTCAAATAGGGTGATGCAAATTTGAGCCAGAGCTTTTTGCCTTAGTACAGATGCCCAGACATGCACTTTGGTGTGAAGCAAATTGTGCCACATGAGGCAAAATAACCCTGCCTGGCTCCTATCAGATCGGCAGTCAGGAGGAGCTAGAGCCGAGGGCCAGTACCTGTGCTGTCCCCAGCAGTATCAAAAGCTGCCCTGTCCTGGCCCTAGCAGTACAAAAAGCTGCCCTGTCAAGTAGCTCAGCGCTATTTGCTCTCAGGAGCTTCTGGGGCCCAGCCAGTTGGTACCTGGGGACAGTACCCTTTGTGCCAGCTAGACTGCTGAAGCAGCCCGAAGAGTTCCCTGCACCCTTTACCCACTGCAGCAGTCTGGCAGTGCGGGCTGCTGCCTGGCTGTGACCTGCTGCACACCTGCCAGACCTGGATGGGGGCTGCACAGCCAGTAAAGGCATCTGCCCCTCTGGGCCCGCTAGCAGTGGACTGTGGCTGCATAAGTGGCCCTGTGCCCCCTGCCCAGCCATCTGAGCAGCTATTGCCCTGAAGATGTTCCCAGTGTGGTGGCCTGCTTTGAACTGTCAAAGCATGTCCTCATGGCCCCAAATGGCCAGGTCAGCCACCTCCAGTTGGGTCCAAGGGTGCTAGCTCTGAGCAGGCAGGACCCTGCCACTGGCCACCCTATCAGGAATTCTGGTGTTCCCTATTGGAAAACTGAAAAATCCCTGATAAAAAAAATCCAAAAGTCACTCTGTAAAATACCCTGAAATCCACGTTCCTTCACAATTAAAGGAAAAGACCACTCTCTCTCTCTCTCTCTCTCTCTATATATATATATATATAGAGAGAGAGAGAGAGAGAGAACACGATCAGTTGGGCAATGTTTTATTGATATATCTACAGTGTTAAAGCAATCTGGAAGCCTAAGAGTGTCTTTATCATCATAATAAAGTGAATTCTAACTACCTATATGTTTTGCTGCCCCCTCACAGGAGCTACAGTCCCCCCACAGGGGTTACAGCCCCTCCAACAGTGGCCAAATGGCCCCACAGGGGCTACCACCCCCCCTGCAGAACCCAACATACCCCACCCCGACTTGCTACCCCAGCCCCCTGGATTGCTGCCCTGCTTGGCCC